AAGGGAAAGGGAGAGGAGAGGGTAAAACACAGGATCAAACTACACACACAAAACAATTTCTCTTTTTATTATGAAAAGAAACTGAATGCCCAGGACCAGGGTCCGTGATCACCAGTAACATCACAGATTACTTTCTAACTCTTCTTTTTAAATTCTGTGTTTGAGGCCAGCAATTTGCAATGAACAAGCTAAAACTACTTACATTGACTCATTTCTCCTCAGTAACTGACATTTACAGGAATATACTAGAAATGGCACTAAAAAGGTTTAAGAAAAGAGTTACGGTAAACTCGCATGCACATCATACAGAAAAGTAACATTCTTTTAAATATTAAAAAAACAAAACCCAAAAAATACACCAACAGATCTGTCTGCATTGGTTCTGTCCATATCAGGGGAGTTCCCAGTGGCCTGGGCCAAATCCCGTGCTGGTGGTTGGTTTGTTTCTAAAAATGACAGTTACAAAGATCTGCAAATACCATTTCTTAAAAAAAGCATCTGGTTGCCTACAGGCAAGAGGATGCTGCAGTGGGACGAATCCATCCCCAGCAGCACAGAGCCTGCCCAGCCAGCCCCGGAGAACTGCTCTGCGGGAGAGCAGGTCTGTTTAAAACCCAGGACTACAAAGGTTGTGGTGTTCGTGTCATGCCCGATCCCTTCCCCTGGCTCCAACCCCAACTGTAAAAAACATCATTCCTTTCAAAACAAGGAGAAACCTAAAAACTGGTCCGAGAGTCCCCAAAACAGAGAAAGAACTAGGTTAGGTGGCTGCAGTCTGCTTCTACCACATGGAGAACATGGAAAGAGACCTCACGGGGAACTAATGTGTATACGTACACGCACACACACGCGGGTGTGTAGGTGGGGTGCGTGCAGCTATTACACACACTCAGCTTACACGGTCCTGAAGTGTCAGCTCCACAGTTACAAACCCTGTCGGTAAGAAAGTTTAAAATCACACCGATACAAAATGAAATACTTTTGTACAGACATTTGGTTCGCGGGGAGCTGTTGGACCCAACAGATCCCTTGAGTAGCTCCCGCTGCCCTCCTGAGCCCACGGCCGATGAACAGCGAGAAACAGGCTGAGCTTACAATCAGATGGAGTCTACAAAGCTTTCAAGGCGCAGGGATGTGGTTCATAACGGCTCTGGTCAGAACAGGAATTTCTCAGAAAAAACAGTTTTGATAAAACTACTTGTGTGTTTGCACATACATGAAATCAGACCGATTTCAGCGGCGCTTCCCCTGGAAAACAAAGTTAAACTTTGCTCCTTCAAGAAAAATTCTACCATAAAAATTTCAATTTTCTTAAGTTTAAAAAAACCCCATTATTTTTGAAATGTTGTATGTTTGATCATTTTCAAGTTCTCATGACACCTGTACTGACAGGTCACGCAACACAAATAAATGCTCTATTGTTTCAGTTTCCAATTAAGGGCTGCTGCTACTTACTATGGACTGAAAACATCTCTTCTTTCCTGGAGACACTCTGCTCTGGAGGTACAAGAGGCACGACTACTGACATGGCAGGAGAGAACCAGCACTACAAACAACATGAAAACAAAGAGCGTAAGAACAACATTTGGAAATGGGGAGTCACCAACTTCTTTCCCGAAACGAAGACCATGGCAAAATGGATTTCTCCTGTGAACTGCTGTTCTGCAGGGAACACCTTACGTGCCATGAAAACAAGCAGTTTTCATGGAAGCTGACTGGAAGCTCAAGTCGCAGCTGGGTGTATCAGATGCGCAAGTAGTTCTTCACGCTCCTCAGTGGCTTTCATTGCTTTTTCTCCTTGCAAAGCCCCAAGCTAGGGCAGGTTTGCTGAGTACAACGGGGATCCTCCAGCGCTGCGCGGCCCTTTCCATCACATTGCGCTTGGTCCCCAACCCTTTGGCTCCAACATTCCCACTGACTGTGGTGGGACAGAGGAACGTGTGTTCCCCGGTGCAGTCAGCGGGGCCGTCCCCGACGTTGGAGCAGCGATGGTGGCACTCTGCAGAGCCAGTCCTGGGCTTGGTGTGCTGGTGATGCTGGTGAGAGCGGCTGCGCTTTGTTCTCCACACGGGAGTGACCACACGTCACACCAGTGGCACGGCTCCGGGCAGTGCACTCAAGGAAAGGTTTCAAGCAGGGAAAGCTGGGAGCTTGTTTATCCGAGGTGTCATGGTACTGAAGTGGCTGCAATTATCTTAATTAAAACACTAGTTGGTTTTACTAATGCGAGTCTCAGACAATAGGAGAAACACAGACGAAACCCAACCCATTAAAACCCCCAAGCTCTTCATTAGCTGGATAGTACATTTCCTCAGAGGAAATTCTGAAAATGTATTACTAAGGATCTGGTGAGGGGAAGATTTTTTGAAGGCAGAATTTAAAACACAGGAACTAAATCACTCCACTGTTAACGGCAAAGAAAAATCAGTAATTTCAGTAAGAATCAGAATTCCCTACTTCATCCAATTCCAAGTGCTACGGGAAACCATCCACAAAGACTCAAGAGCCTCCTACTACCAGGCCAAGCACCCTGGAGACTGCAAACCAAGCCAAAGGTGCCCAGAGACTCACGGGAGGAGCTCGGTGCCTCACAGCGACACAGCATCTCGCTCAGCCCGAGCCAGAATAAGGGGATTCTTTTCTACAGCAAACATGTTATTGCCAGGACACGGGTCAGACACGGACAGAGGCACATCCGCTGTGCCAGGCACACACTGAGCACCCTGAAACACTGGTAGAGACAGTAAAGTGTCCAGCTAACGAAACCTCAGTCGATGGGCAGCGAGTGACTGGCAGCTGACATGGATGCTGTTAGAAGTGCAAACCATGGAGTGCTTGTAACAGTCTGGTCCTGCGCTTCCCAGCAAAGGGCCATCACCCTGACACCACACATCCCAGCACAGCATCTCCTGATCCAGCTCTGGGCTGTGGGTGCAATGGGAATCCTGGCCTGGGGTGAGGGGGCCTCCAGGACCACTCACCTATGTGAAAAATACAAGCTGGTGCAATCTGCACCCAGGGCTTCTGGTAAGCCACAGGCTGTGACCCCACAGCAGAGGCAGCCTTGGGGCTGGTGCTGGGAGAGAGGAAGGTGCAACGTTGTTAAACTCTGTACAGTTCTTCTTTACAATAAAAGGTTAAGAGTTTATAAGAAGTTTCTGCCCTTCAGATTATAAGTTACTACAGTTACAGAACTGGTGCTTTCCTAAAGGTGATTACAAGAGAAAAACCCCACTGTTCTACAAATAGAGATTAAAAATAAAACAAGAGTGGAAAAAAGACTTCTGGAATATTACTGAGAAATCAACAGCATTCTGCATCAAGAAACTGTATCTACTTGTATGGCTCCAAAATCTGCACAGAACAGGAAAAAGGGGGGTGAAAAAAGAAAGAAGAGATTGAACAAATCAAAACCCACACACACAAACATGACAGCACCAGACACAGGCTGGCCCCTAGCACCTGTGGGCATCAACTCCAATGTATTTACATGAAGCCTCAGATGTTTATGCGCTTTGTTGCTGGTTGGTTGTTTTTAAATCTGGTTCCAATCACCTCTGATGTTTGCCTTTCTGCTGCTCTGCAGGACGCAGCTTTGCTTTTGTTATTTATGACGTTTTAAACGACCAATGTTTAATAAATAAAATACTTGTATATACATGAAATTAGGGACAGTGAAAACTGGCTGTATTGCAGCAGTGCAGGCCAGAACATCAGGCTGGACTCAAAAAGTTGCTGGTGTCTCTTCCTTTTTCCTTCCTCCCCTCTTTTTTCTTTTTCTTTTTCTTGAGGTAAGCATTTCAGTGCCTGAAACCTGCCCGACACACACACAGCATTCCCCTCCTAGGAGCTCACTACTGAAACGACAAGGAGAGGAACAAAACCCCCAAGCCCCAGCACACACAACATCCCTCTCCAGTTCCCTGCCAGCTCAGCCTCAGCTGGAGCTCAAGTGCTCCTTTATTTTAAGCCCAGGCTGAGGTGCTTGTCATGGAGAAAATACTTGAGCCTGTCTCTGGTAACAAGCACGTGACTTGTGTGGTCACTGCAGGGATCACCCCAAGGTCCAGCTGAAGACTTTCAGCCAAAAGCTGTTTTCAATTAAATGAAAACTTTCCTAGAGAGTGCCCGTTTCCTGGAAATTATCTATTGCATGTGAAAAGTAACATTTCCAAGAACCCGGAGCATCCCTTGCTCCCGTCTTCCCAAACACATCCCCAAGAAAAAGGAAAATCTCAAGTGGAAAAACAAAAAATTCAACTACTTGTATTGCTCATGTGCTTAAAGTTAAGTTCATGCTTAAACACCTTCCTGAAGAGGTGCCTATGCCTCTACCAAGATTAAGAAAACCCCAAAAGCCTGTTAGCAACCCACAGTACATGATTTTTTTTTTGTTTCTTTTTGTTTTTATGTAAAAAGATGATAGCATCTGACATTCTCATCACACTGTAGACTTCGAGATTAAGAATACTAGTGCTAGTAACAAATACACCAACTAGTTGAAAAGCTAACGTCTTCCAGATACAGTACCATTGTACAGAGATCTCCTCAGAAAAAGAGGTTCTGTTTTTCCCTTGTGTGAGCCCGGCAGCTCCTGAAGAGAGAACATTGTGGGGAGAGAGCAGGGGCAGGAGGGAGGCGGACTACAAACCTCGCAGAACCTTCTAGTCATCTCCTGCTGAGAGTTCGGAGTTCTTCCACTTCCAACGAGCCTTCGTCAGTTAAAATGTATTTTAGAGACTTTATGCAAAGGGAACTATTTGTCATAAAGTCTGGTCACACACATATGGAAAGATCTTTGACCTATTAAAAGAGTGCCCCCCAAAAATGGAAGATTCCTTTTACAACACTGAATTAAAAAATAAAGTCAGAGAAATAGAGAAGGGACAAAAAAAAACCTGACCACCGTGGAGCAAGAGCAGTATATTAAGGAAAGGAACACTGCAGAGCATCGGTGAAGGTGATGTCCGTTTTGGGTGCTGGGTGTAAGTGTCCGTAAGTCATTCCGAATCGCTGCTGTCTGAGCTGGAGCCACTGGAGCTGCTGCTCCCAGACTCGGAGGAGCTGCTGCTGCTGAGCCGGGAAGGGCCTCCCGAGGGAGCCGAGCCGGATTTCTCTGCGGGAGGAAGGCAGAGACGAGGTTACTTGCACATAGAGCAGGTTCATCCACAGCCCTCACCCTCTGTGGCTTTGTTCACAGTTCATTTTGCCTGGGGACTGTGCACACAGCCCCGTGTACTGCGGTGCAACCTCTGAACACAAGAAACCCCTGCCTGGCTCATGCAAAGCTGGAATAACCTTTGTTTGCACTGGAAGAACCTCCTGTACCATCTTCCACCCTCCTGTGCTGTTGGGGGGCTTGGGCTGTTTTCAGTCCCACAATGAAGAACAATCACCTATTTGATGCTCTGTGGTACTGGTCTGCACGCACGGTCCTGCACAGGCTGACACAGAGGGGAAGATCCTTCTCCCTCTGAAGGATGAATTGCCTCCAAGAGGCCTCACATTTACCACCCAGGAGAGTTTCCCCCTGGACAGGGACCAAAGCAGCTCCCACACAACAGCTCAGTGCCCAGCAGTAACTCACTGACCAGCTAAGTAACTGTCACAGAGAGAAGCCCCAGGCTGCAAGGCAGCAGGAGTTCCGCCTCAGCGAGGAAGTCTATTACACACACAAGTGTCCAGGCATTGGTAGCAGAGTAAAGCCAAAGCCTTTACCTTTCTTTGCAGGTTTCTTGTTGTTGTTTAGCTGCCCACTGACGTCCTGTAACCGTTTTTCTAGTTCTTTCTTCTTTTCCTGAGCTAATTCTTCTTTTGACTTCGCTGCTTGCTTTTTCCCACCTGCAGCTGTGGAGGAGGAATGCAGAAGCTCTGAAACTGCATGGTTGCAGGTGGAAGAGATTGGACATCACTATTTTACAGGGCATGTAAATCTGTGCAGCCACTTTGCAGTGACACTGTTAAAGATCAAGTGACCACACAGCAGCTACACATCCCAGATAGAGCACGACTTCTGAGGTTATCTAGATCATCCAATCACCATCATCCTGTAACATGCACTTTGTAAGAGGGATCTTCTCAGAAGTATTTTAGAAGATAGAAATATCCATAATAACCTTGTAGTTCCAGGTTACTTACCAGCCAGTTACATGGTCAATAGTTACACATTTGTAATTACAGAATTGTTACATGGGGTTTCTGCCCTGTAAAATAAAGTGTCCCATTAAAGGTTGTCGGAAGTTAAGCATTTGCCATTACAACTTAAGTACTTCATGCAAGAATCTACTGTGGTTTGTGTTACTTTAGATACAAAACAAAAAGGACAAATTAAAAGCCAACGTCGGCAAAGGCTGGCAGAGAACAGGAATGCAGCTGCACCAGTCGGGATGGCAACGGTGAGAAGTACCAGCAATACTCATACTTCAGAGCAGAAGAAACATTCCTCCAGAGAAAGAGTAACTGAACACAGGGACTGGGCAGTGTCAGAAGCACAAGACAGGGGCCAGATAATTTGCCTGATCCAGCATGGAAACACCTACATTTCTGAGTGCTGTTTTAAAGCAATGATCAAAAAAGAAATCTGGAAAGCAGAGTCCCAGGAGGGTGCTCCCAGTCTCCAACCATGGTGACAGAGGGCAGAGAAGCCCGCTGGGGCCAGGCATGCCAGCCCAGAGTGTGCAGAGGAGCAGACATCTGGGGTTATCTGCGTCACTCTATGCTTTGGTTCCAAAAGGATGCTTCTTGTTCCTGACCCCCTGGAAACTTTCTTCCTGAGCTAGTCCAACAGCGAAGAACTCGGGAGAAAAATAAAAATCAAAGCAGTGTATTGAAAAGCAAAAAGAAGGGTCAAAGCCTGAGCTTTGCTTAGGCCTACCTGAAAATCCTGCGGTGAAGAAATGGAGGTGCTCTGCAAGAGCTGTGAGTAGCTATTGTGTTACACTCTTAACAGGACAATTCCCTCTTAACCAACAAGCAGATGGACAAGGCCAGGACCACTTCAGGTAAGTGATCCTATTGCTATTCAGCTGGAGCTAAACTCCCAAGGGGCCGCCACAATTCACTCTCTGTGGATGAGGCACAGAGAAAGGTCTGTCCCACACTGAACCGGACACTCGGCAGCACATTGACATTAATCCTCTGAGCTGACAGATACTGAGGGTAATAGGGTGATCAGGCCATGTAGGAAAAGCAGTTTTGGGGTGAATATACAACTCAGACACTTAAACCCAGAATCCAGAGGTTTCCCGGGTAACTCCATGCAAGTCATTTATTCCCTTGTGTTTTGGATCCCAACCATGCTTTTTGTTTCCTTCCTAATTAGATGCTAAACTATTCAGGATAAGAAACTGATCCTTGCAGATGTGTGCACGTTACACCTAACACAATGAGACTGAAACCTGCACAGTACCTTCTAGATTCTAAGTAATAAACCCATCACAGGTCTTGTAGAGGAACACAACAGTCCTCCAGGTCTCCCCAGCATGACTCCAGGGGAAGAAAGAACAGAAGGAATAGAAGGTTTCTGTACTTCTCTTGGGAGAAAAGATCTCAAAACCCCTGTCAGCACATACCCAACGGCTGGATAACAGCATCCCAACACACATGCCCTGTCTCCAAAGCTGAGCCCAAGAGCTGGTGGGGGAACACATGCCCCAGGAGGTAACTTACAAAATGGTTTCCTCTGTTTTTTCTGTAAACAAGACTTCACGTATCGCTCCAGTTCTCGTAAAGTCGTGGGCTTCAATGTCTCAAAATCTATTTCTATCTCATCGGGATTGGAGTCTCTGAGGGAAGGTTCCCGGGACTGGATGATGTGCACCACTCTGCCCAGCTTCTCCCCAGGCAGGCGGTTGATGTCCAAGCTGAGCTGTCGTTTCTCATCATAGGTCATGGGCAGACCTTCCTCCTCCTCGTCTGAATCGTAGGTTGCAGATGCCTGTTTGCCTCCTTTCTTGGGCTGCCTGGGGGGTGGCAAGCATGGAAACCGTCATGGGTACATAGAAGCAATGAACTCTCTTTTTCTACCCTCCTAGTGACAAACATCCCAGTGCTCTTGGCTTGGAGCCGCCAGCCAGGCTTGAGCAGCAGCACAACTTCTGAAGAAGTTCACAGATGTGGGATCAGCTGTTCTACCCCTATTACACTTGAGCCCTGTGAGGCACGACAACAAGCCCATGTAGCAGCAGGCAGGCAGCAATGAAATGGCACGTTCTTGCTGGCTGTGCCAAAGGCAAAAAGCAAAACCTTTTCCCAGAATGATCAGAGGGGACTGAGCTGGACAGTTGAGTATGATGGTTCCACTGCCAGCTCCAACTTTAAGACTCCCTGGGGCTGCCTGGGAATGGGGACACTATTCAACAGCAAATTAACTGCAGTGAGAAGTGAGCTTCACCAGGAGCTCAGCAGGGGCAGGGGAACTGGGCTGGAAGCTCCTGGTGTTCCCCTCAGGACTGCTTGTGGAAGGCAGGCACTCACCTGCCAGCCGTGGTTGTGCTATTCGCTTTCTTAGCTGGGGCCTTCTTCTGTGGGGCTTGTTTTGCTGGCTGAGCCACCTTGGGTTTCTTCTCCTCCTCAGCTTTTATTTTGTGCTTTTCTTTTTCCTTCTCTTTATCTTTCTTTTTCTTCTCTTTCTCTTTTTTCTCTTTCTTTTTCTTTGGTTTGTTCACTGGTGCCTGTGACAATGCAGCCAGCTGCTCATGGACAGCCTTCAGCTGGGGGAGAGCAGTGACAAAGGCAATCAGACTTCACAGCAAGGTAACTGATGCCTCCACATACCCTTTCTCTACATCCCTACATGTAAGTATAGCCCAAAGTGGATATATAGAGCAGTCTAGTGATTGAACTCAAGAGACTTCACTCAATTTAAAAGTCTCTTAGAAATGCAGTGCAAGTGCACAAAGCTGACCCAAAAGAACACCTCGTTCTTGTTTTATAGGGGGCAAATAAAAATTAAGCTTAATAGCTCCATCTAGAGTGCTGACAACTTGGCCTCTGGAATCCTGCTTCACTTCCTGGCTCTCCTACTAGCTTGCTTTGAGACACCAGCTAAGCTATTTTACTAATGCTCTGTTGTATTATGGGAGCATATACAAGCACTGTAGCATCTGGCACTGTGTATCTGCATAATAAGAAAGGCCATGGCTTAACTATTTGCAACCACAACAGCCAGAACAGCTCATTTCTACAGCCTGGGTACAGAGGACAATATCCACAGGAAACTTGTGATGGATTTCCTTATGCCTGAGCTCTCATACAAAATGGGTTTCTCTGGTCTTCCCAGATCCTGAGTATTGTGTGCTCCTTCATTCACACTCTGGGATCCCAGAAGGAAGCACAGAGCATCAGTGCTGGGAGGGCTCTCACAGAACAGGAACACTACATCAGCCATGCACTTATTGCACTGCTGAGCACATTCCCCTTTGGCTGGCAGAGGGGAGACTGCTCTGCTGCGTTGAAGTTAACCCCTTCCCCCTGCTGCAGCCTCTGTGCTGCACAGACAGCAGCCCGGCCACCGCGGT